TTGCATGTACAGACCAAATCACCAACAGTGTGGTTGTGCTTTGGGGAGACAGTTCACTTTTTCTTTCCAGCCCCCTCCCCCTCAACCCCCCCACCCTGAACCTCAGACCGCTTGTCCTTTGGGTTACACCACCTCTGTTCCAAGTGCCACCTGCCCTCCCAGCACCGGGAGCGTGTCGACGCAGTATTCCACGAGCAGTGTGGGGCACGCACAGCTTGCACTCGAACTGGGGATTGGTTTGGTTTTCGTTTTGTTTTGGGTTTTTTTTTTGTAATTAATGTACTTGAAGGCTTTCCGAGCCCCGTGGAGTTGTACTGTTGCTGTACTGTGAGCTAAGTGTCCTTGTTTTCTATGTGGATCTTGACCCTGGCTTGCTCTGTCTCACTGGGCTGGATGACACTGTATGTTGCCTCTTTTCTCCTTCACCTTTTCCCTCCCTGCTAGTGTCCCTCTCTTCTCCCAAAGCTTTGGGTGCAAAACAGCTTCCCATTTTGTGGAATTTTTATGTAGAATAAACATTTGTAACTGTAAAGCTCTGGCTGGCACCACTCTGTTTCAGGGAAAGGGATGGGATGATGGGGAGCACGGGCTGGTGCACCAGGAACACAAAAGCACAGAGCGTGGACCTGATGAAAAGCAGGAGCAGTCGCCACAGGAATACCAGAATCTGCCAGGAGGAGGATTCATCCTCGTGGGATACACACCTTTGTGCTGCCTGACCTCCTGCCCGTGGACAGAGGGGAAGCTGGCAGGGAACAAGGTGCTGTACTCCCACCTCAGCACGCCCCTGCACTGAGAGCAGAACACAGGAGACCAGCAACGCTTCTGACTCGTTGACTGTTTAGTGAGGAGGCTGGATATCATGTTCTGGCTCACCTGGAGCTCACCACGCTCTCCGGAAGACAAGCAATGGCTTTGCAGACCCCAAACAGCCAGTGCACTGTCTGCCACTCTACCTTCACCAGGAAAACAGGGCTGGAAGCTTTGCAGTTGGCTGCTGGGCGGCACCTGAGCCAGTTCACAACATCAAGAGCCACAGTGGCCTGTCCCAGCAAGTCCCAGGCCTGGCGTGTCCATCAGTGCCACCCACGGGAGGCTCGCCGGAGGGACTGACACACCATCGTCCAGGCCAGCAGCATCCAGGGCAGTTCAGAAGCGAGGGCGGCGCTTTCGCCCCGTGTATTTCGTGTCTGCTCGCACTTCCCTGAGGAGAAAAAGCAGAGCAACTAAGCACAAACCACAGGGCGTTCTGGCAGGAGAAGGGAAGCAGGCTCGCAGCAAGAGTTTGAGCAGGTGACAGCAGGCCAGATCGGCACAGCCAGCCTCAGCTGAGGCAGGACCCAGCTGAACTTACTTGCCCTGTCGTCGTCTCCGCTCCTTCTTCTCAAGGATCCAGTCCCGGCTTTTCTTCACAGACTTGCCTTTGATGTTTCTGAACCGTGTTCTACAGAGAAAGCAGACAGCAGCTGGAGAGGTCCTGAGGTGCAGGGACAGTTTTCTGCCCTCGAGGATTGCCACCCAGAGCTGGGCATGGCCTCCGCCCCACGAAACCAGCAAACTCCCCTTCCGCCACCCCTGCACTGGGGCAGCACTGGGGCAGGCGGCCCAACAGCCCCACCCCTCCCACCAGGGGAGGAGGCTGCTTCCAGCCCCAGTGCCGAGCCGAGGGACACGTACCCTCCACAGTGCTCTCTTGTGCCCTGTCTGACATGCCAGCAGCACACTGGGGTGTGGGATCTCAGGGAAGTACAGCCTCAAGCACAACCACCTTCCCCTACAGCACACAAACCCTCTGGCTTCCCAGCAAGTCGCCAGTTCTGCTATTGCCCTCCAAGACCAGGCACACCCCGGACTGTGTGAGCAGAGAACAGCAGTGTAAGAGGCAGGAAAACATGGCAGCCACAAGTTCCTGGCAGCCACGACGACTTTCCTCTGGTTTTTTGATCTCTGTCTCTCCCACTGGCTGCAAGAGGGGCTCCTCCCTGCACCACTACCATGGGAAGAGACCTGGCTGGCAGGAGAGACCCCCCAAAGCCACAGTTGAGCAGAGTTAAGCAAAGAATTTGACAGCAGAGGAAAGCAAACACCCAGACTTCAGGCAGGCAGCCTGCTTGAAGCCATGCTTGGTATCACCAGCACTGTGGTCCTTGGTCAGCAAAACCCAGCCCTTATATCCCCCCCCAACAGGCCTTGCTTGGGGAGACCTTGCAGCTCCACGCCCCACACCGTACCTCTCGTTGGTGAACTTTGCCTGGTGTACCTCTTCTCCAGCAGCACACTCAGTACCAAGGCCCTGAAAAACAAAACTGAGGAAGTTTTGCTATTCTCCAGAGCAGAGAGTCAGTGCCATGTAAATTGAGGGGAACCCAGGGCTCTGCAAGGAGAAGGACTGGACCAGGAACTGGTCTTCCAGAAATTGTGGCAAAGAAATCACTGGGAGAGCAGGGCTTGGTGAGACTGACGGCAAATGTAGAAATGAAATCACATCTGCATGCGAATTGCTGCATTGCTGCGTGGCTCCCACTCTCATCCACAGCTCTTCCACATGACCCAGAAGCCAGGAAGGCAACTCTGCTGCCTCGCGGAGCTCCTCACCTTTGGTAACGTGCCACATGTCCCAACAAAGAGACACAGGAAGAACCTGAAAGAATGAGGATAAAGGAGCATGAGGCTGGATTCAGCCTGCGATTCCCAGTCCCCAAGCAAGACTGTTCCTTACAGTCAGATCTAAGCTGTAACCTCTGTCCAGGACTGTATCCTGGGACAGAGAACAGCACAGGGGGAAAAAAAAAATCACTGCTAAACCCAGGTCTCAGCCCAAACACACACGTACACAGAGACACGTGACTCACTTCTTGGCTTTGGCGCTGTTGGGGTAGTCTATCACCATTCCCCCGGTGAAGCCAGCCCTCATGGCTTGGGCCGTGATGAGCTCCAGCTGGAAAAGGAAGCACATGCAAAAGTTATTTAGCGGGCATCCACCACCAGTGATGCCCGAAAGACCTCTGGGCTCCACCACAGCCAACTGCACGTGCCAAAGATGGGTTGTTCCTGCTCCTGTTGAAGCGCTGCACCAAGCTCCTGGTTTCACAGTACCACCTGAACACCAGCCTCCTGCCTTTATTTGGTTCTCCCTGCTCCTCAGTCTAGCCTGGGTTAACTGGCACAGCAGACTCTCCAGAAGAGGGATACTGGGCTGGATTTTCCAGCCCTGGGGGGTTACAGTGCAGTGCTGATGACTACAGGCCAGTCTTCAAGTGTCAGAGGGGAAAATCCAGGACTGCAGATTCAGATCGTGTCCTGCCCATTTTGTTGATTTTAAGGATAGAAGACAATCAGTGAAGCAACTGAAGTTGCACAGGGCATTCTCCCTGGGTTTGTGGGTTTTTTTTCCTTTGAAGAGCTTTACAGATGGCAGGAAAGACAGAGACACAGACCCAATGTGAAAAACCATGACACATTCAGAGCCCCAAACTGCACACGACCTCTCTGCCTGTACTTCCTCCTCACTGACTCACGGGCTGTACCTGTTCTGAGTTCTCGGGGTACAGCTGCAGGACGGCTCGGGATCCTCGGGCCTAGAAGAAATAAAGTCGGTCACAAACCTGTGAGAGTGCAGGCAACCCGTTTAAGTCACTCGATTCCTAACCCAGGCACTGGCACCCACCTCCCCAAAGCCTCCTGAAGAACTCTCCCAGGAGAGCTGCTCAGACTGCAGAGCCAGCTCCTCCATAGCACAGCAAGGCACGGGGGCAAGAGCAGGGGTCGGGGAAGCAGGAAGCACCATGCAGGCAGGCAAGGAGATAGAAATGGGTGCTCCTGCCAGTCCTTCACTTCATTGCAGCATTTGCTTAAACCACCTGACTTAAAACACCTTGCTGAAAAGCAGCGGTGAGGATGTCAATGTAGGCAAAGGGCTGACACTTACCAAGGCAGTATAGAGAGTCGAGAAGAATCGATACAGGCGTTTTGGAGGGCTGTGTGATTTCTTATCAGCGTTACAAAGCCACTGCACTGCAGAAATGCTGAGAAAGAAAACAAGACCCCCGGGACACTGAGCCATCGTTTCTTTCACAGAGCTTGTCACCTCCCTTTGAGCTTACTTCCAGCACTAAGCTTGTGCTGGGCTTCAGGGGAACAATTTAATTTTCTCCACGTAGCTTTGCCTTCTGCTTTGCAGTCACACGAATCCCTCTGGAGACTCACTATGCCAAAATCCAGCAAGGCGCAGTAGTTATTTAAGAATCACCAAGCATCCTCTTTAGGCCAGGTGCTCAAATAATTCCCGTGCTCAGCTGCAGCCCTTGCACGGTCACGCAGGTTTTGCCAATGAGCAATCCCAAAGAAAGTGTTTGGATCAGCAATAGCCAGTCCCTGCTCCTTCCTAGCACCTTCCTGAGGTGTTCTCTAAGCAGAAGAGTGTTTCTGTCCCCTTCACCTAGCCCTTCATCCCAAAACCAGCCACCAAGCCTTTCATCCAGGGACTGATCTTACAGCTGAGCAATGGTCAACCCCGCTGACAATATCCCCTCTTTTATTTACTTCAGCAAACTTCCTAGCTCACCAGCACAAGGAAAGACAAGCACCACTTGGGAAACAGCTGTCAGAAGCTGCTTCTACCATCCAGAATCTCAGCAGCTTGTCCCAAAGATGCAGAGTCAAGATTCACAGAGCAAAGAGAGCGACTGGTAAGGACGGTCACGCTCATCTGTTACACACCACATGCAGACCATGTGTACTGTACGGACGAGGCAGTTACGTGGAGTATGAAGAGAGCTCACTTACGTACACAGACTTACCTGATACAGCCATCAAACATGCCAGGCCTGAAGGGAATGCCGTGACCCACATCTGCAAGGAGAAGGTCTCCTTCCACCTCCCTCTCCACAGCCACATCTGCACAGAAGACAGCACAGCTCAGGCAGGCAGCTCACACCTTCGGGGGCCACCTCCGAGGCGAGGCTGGCAGAGGAGGAGGAGGGCCTGCTCACCCAGCATGGCAGGGCTGATGTCCATGCCAATCCAGTAGTGACCCGCGTCGGAGATGTAATCCCCGCTCAGGCCAGAGCCGCAGCTGAAGGGAGGAAGCGGGGGAAGTACAGGCATCACAGGACTGGTCCGAGCATGACACTGACCAGCGGCAAAGCTGCAGCAGCCCGTCCTTCTTTTTCAGCCAGCAAGAGGGAGACGCTGGCGCCGCAGAGCCTGGATGCCCCTCGCTCGCGGGCGCCCACCCGGGCTGAAGCCTCAGACGCTCCACATGCCACAACACAGGGCAGTGCCCTCGCTCACCCCACATCCAGGAGGAGGCACGGCCGGTCGTCAGGCAGTCCCAGCAGCTCCACAGCCCGCTCTGACATCTGCGACTGGATCTCCACCACCCGGGAGCTGCAAGGCATGGATGAAGCATGAGCAACTGGCAGTAACTCCTGCCACTGCCTCCCGGAAGGGTTTCACACACACCCCCACCCTGCTGCCTCACGATGGGACATCCCCTCTGGCTCTGTCACCACACGGCAAGGTGATACCCCCATCCCTGGCCTCACGATGGGACTCCTCCACCGCCAGGATCACAGAATCACCCAGACTGAAAAAGATCTTTAAGATCAAGTCCAACCATTAACCCAGCACTGACCATTCCTCAGCTAAACCGTGTCCCTAAGCGCCGCGTCTCAGATACCTCCAGGGAATGGGAACTCCACCACTGCCCTGCACAACCCATTGCAGTGCCTGATAACCCTTGCAGTAAAGAAATTCTTCCTAAGATCTAAACCTCCTTTGGCACAATTTGAGGCGATTTCCTCTCATCCTGTCACTTGTTACACGATAGAAAAGACAGACCCCCACCTCTTTAGAGCCTCCTTCCAGGTGGCTGCAGAGAGCGGGAATGCCTCCCCTCAGGCTCCTCTCCTCCAGCTGAAGGAGACTTGTTCTCCAGACCCTTCCCCAGCTCCCTGGCCCTTCTCTGGACACGCTCCAGCACCTCAGCGTCCTCGTAGTGAGGGGCCCAGAGTGGATCAGAGGATCCGAGCTGCGGCCTCACAGGAGGGCGATCCCTGCCCTGCTCCCGCTGGCCACGCCACTGCTCACCCAGGCC